GAGAGGGCTCCCGCGTGTGCTGCGTTGGTGGTGCCTACAGAGGGTAACTAGCTACCGAAAAAACAAACAATCAAAGCTGATTCTTCGCCTCTTTGGGTTTCCAGGGTAAACAAGCAAACGAACACAACACGTAAGCAACCTAGAGTCATACAGAGGCGCCCTCGTGGTCTGGCAAAACTCAGAGCAAAAAATACCAGTCTTTGCCCACCTCCAACATCTTAAATCCCCCCCAAGAAACTCCTGCCTTTCAGCAGAGGGAAATGCAACGGTACCAAAGGCCAAGGAAGAGACGGTTGCTCAACAGTAAGGATGAGAGGACGCTGGGGCAGGCGGGGCGGCGGGAGGCCAGACGGCTGGTGGCTCGGTGCTGGTTCATTAACACCAGCTGGACTCTGGCTCCGTCCTCGCCCTGCCTGACTTCTGCAGACTGTGCTCTGCTTTCACAAGTAGCTCCTGGCTGGCGGTTTCCTATTAAAAAAAGAGCAGCACAGGAGGCCCTGGGACTTCAGGCATCTTAGAGAAACAAAGAAGGTCAAACTGAGTCCCTTCCTAGTCGTCATGGCAACAAAGAAACTATCGCAGAGGCACCGAAGCGGCCACGCAGGAGCTCACTTCCAAGCCACAATCACGACACATGTCCCCTTCCTGGGTGCAACCCACGTGCAGAATCGCCCTCCTACCTGTGTGCCCGAATCCCTGCATCTCCCGGCGTCCCAACTCCTCCTCCTGACTTCCTGGGGATGTCTTGGTTAAGAACACCTTGCTGATGGCCGCCAGGTGCCAGATCTCACCTGATGGGAACTCTCCGTTTCTATCTCCGCGGGGGTGGGGACGGGGGAATTTTAAAGAATTTAAATTTTAAAGAATTCCATCCTTAAAATGGAATTTTATACCGCCTGCATCAGAATTACCTAGAGGTGCTGATTGAAAATGCACAATCGTGGGCTCCGCCCCAGACCTACAGAATGATCATCTTCCACCAACGTTTGATAACTACAAGTTCAGTGGGTAGAATGCACGTGGCATCATCCTATTCAGCACAGCTGTAGGCAAATGCTTAGCGTGGGTCCTGCCTTGGCTGAGTCAAATCATCACAGATTGAGCCAACGAGCTCACTCTGAACTCAGCCAACTGTTGACTTTCGTCAGAAGATGGGCAGTCTAACTTCCAATGTTTAAACAAAAGAACTTAAGACCTTAACACGAATGGAAAGGATTGAGTTGGCTGGAAATCTGAAAATGGGTGTATTTTTCCTGGGACTACAGGGAAGAAAAGACTGTTAGTACAGTTGACCCTTGCACAACTCAGGAGGAAGGGAGACTGACCCCCCACTCAGCTGAAAATCTGAGTATAGGGGCGCCTGGGTGGCTCAGTCAGTTGAGCGTCCGACTTCAGCCAGGTCACGATCTCGCAGTCCGTGAGTTCGAGCCCCGCGTCAGGCTCTGGGCTGATGGCTCGGAGCCTGGAGCCTGTTTCTGATTCTGTGTCTCCCTCTCTCTCTGCCCCTCCCCCGTTCATGTTCTGTCTCTCTGTCCCAAAAATAAATAAACGTTGAAAAAAAAAATTAAAAAAAAAAAAAAAGAAAATCTGAGTATAAATTTTGGCTCCCCCAAAACTTAACGCCTAACAGCCGTTAAGTTTTGGATTCTGTTTGGATTCTATTTCGGATTCTGTGTCTCCCTCTGTCTCTCTCTCTGCCCCTCCCTGGTTCTGTCTCTCGCAAAAATAAACAAACACTAAAAAAAAAAAAAAAAAAAAATTATCTTCTGGCCCTTTAAAGAAAAGTGTGCAGCATGTGTTAGGGATTGATACAGCTGGCTCAGGAATCAGAATATCTGGGTTCCAATGCGAGTCGACCATTTAGTGGCTATTAAAAGTAATTAAACAAGGAGGGCACTAGGGTCCTGGTAGCCTCCGTAAGCAAACCAAAACATAAGCAAACCAAATGTAAGCCAGAGTCAATGCATGGGACTCCGAGGAAATGAAATGTTTAAGAACAGCCAATCACAAGCAGCTTTCTCAAATAAAACAACCACTTAAGCTAGAGTCAATCAGATAATTTCCTTGCTTTGCTTCCACATCTTGTCTATAAAAATCTCTTGCCAGGTCCTGTGTCTGGAGCACCTCTAATCACCTTTGGCTTGGTGCCACCCGATTCCAACAAATTTTGCTCAAATAAACTTGAAAAGATTTTTTGTTCTGTTTTGCAAATAAACTTGAAAATTTTAACACGCCTCTTCACCTCCTAGCAAAGCTAAGAGATCTTGGGCATATTATTTAGATGACTCAGGCTCCTTAAGACTCAGTTTCCCCGTCTATAAAATGGGGACAAAAATTATACTTACCTCATGGACCTGTTGTGGAGATTAAATAAGAGAATACAAGTAAAGCACTTAGAATGATAGTGCTTGACAATAAATAAGAAGCATTAGGATAACCTAACAGAACTCTCTCTCTCTCTCTCTTTTTTTTTTTTTTTGTCATATGTTTCATTTTCCAAAAGTCCTAGGGGCTCCTGGCTGGCTCAGTCAGTTGAATGTTCGTCTCTCGATTTTGGCTCACGTCATGGTCCCAGGGTCGTGGGATCGAGTCCCACTTGGGGGGCTCCACGCTGAGTGTGGAGCCTATTTAAGATTCTCTCTCTCCCTCTGCCCCTCTCTCCACTTGCACTCTTTCTCTAAAAAAAGAAAACCAAATTAAGTCCTAAAGGAGGTTCTGATTTTTAGTTACCTACATTCAGCAACATTTCTTTACACACTCATTAGCTTTAGACATGCTCCAGGAACTCTGACTTCATTAAAATTATAATTATTTAACTCTGTTCCTTTTATCTCCTTCTTCCACTTAAGCCCCCATGTTGGCAGCCGAGACCTTGGGAACCAGGGAGAACTTCTTACGAGACAGTTTTGGGAGAAAAGGAAAATAAAACAAAAGCCAGCTAGAGTAAGGACAACAAACGGTGAGGGAATGCTCAAATGTGTGTGGCGAACCAAATTTTAAAAAGATGAATGTGAATCTACCTGGGAGAAGGCAGATGAGCTGACGTAATGGGAGAAGCAGCCACACACAACACAGAACACACACGCACCCCAACAAAGCACGAAGTCACTTACGTGTCCCTAACCCACTAATTAATCCTCGGCTGAATTTAACCCTCCTCCCCCTCCCAGTGTTTCCCCACCTCTGAGACAAACACATCCTAACCAGCAGTGTCCTTGGAGATCCCAACTAACTCAGATCCAACTGGGAATCTAGCTCGGCAAACTTGCATTTTAGCAGGGCCTTTGGGGTTTCACTGGTCAATCTCCCATTTTTGGAAATTATGCACGTTTCGGAGGAAGCACAAATGAAAGTGAATCTTTTTCTGGCCCTTGCTTGGTGTTGAGTAAAATTCACATCTTTCCCTAGAAAATACAGGATAGGATTTTCCAGGGAAAATAATAATTTTAGCAGGGCCTACCTCAGTACCTGGCACTGAGAAAGTATACAATCGATAATAACTTGCCTCCCCTCGTAGAAAGAATCCTATCCCCAGGATAGGAGTTTATTCAACCACCCAGTCAATCATCACATATCTTTCAAGCATGAGCTATGTGTAAGGCACAGTTCTCGTGCCTGGGAAACAGGATTGCCATATTTAGCACAGAAAAATTCGGACCATCCCAACAAATTTCAGTCTAAGATATGCAATGAGCCATTTTTAGTGTAATGACATCTCATGCAATGTTTTGGATATACTTACACTAAAAGAACAGTCATTGTGTATCAAACTTAATCGATGCCCTACACTCTATCAAGGAACACTACTGACGACAGAGTGGTGACCGACATACACAGAACCCCGCTTCCCATGCAGTCATAGCCATTCCAGCCTCGGGAGCTCCCGGGATTTAATTCCCACCTGGAAGCTCCCAGGGGGAAAGCCTGGGGACTAGAATGACCGTCTCTTCAGAGGCACATGGCCCACTGGGGACCCATTTAGCAGATGTCACTCTGTGTTACAACTGCAACTTTATTTCCTTGTCATACTCCTATGCATTTGAAGTCCTTGGTGACAGGGCCCGCATATCTCTTTATCCCTGTACCCCTGGATTCTATCTAGCACAGCATCTGGAACTGGAAGATGCTCAGTGCAGACCAGCTTCGTGAATGAGTGGGCAAACGTGTAAACGGTTGCACAGACGTCAAATGCAATGCCAGGCCACGCTCATGGCTCGTAAGGAAGATATTCACATACCTTCATAAACACTGGAAACATAAGAGAAAACCAAGTAGCCAGAATCCAAAGAACATAGGGGGTGAAGAATGTTCTTTTATTTTAAAATGTTTTATGAAGGTACTGCAAATAAAACAAAGGCTTTTAAAAAACGGAGGTGGGTGATTGGAGGAAGATCACGCGAGAGCAACATTATAACCCCGTAGAGAATGCTAAAGGGCCCTTTGAAGATACTTCTTAACCTCACAGGTAGGAGTCAGGTCAAAGCGCTGATTTCACGTGTCGGTAATATAATAAAAAATAACTTCCAGTAGTTAACCGGAGCCATAGCATTAATAAGTGAGGAATACAGTATCAGCAAATAACAAATAATGAAGAGCCATTTTATTGTCAGTACTGACTGTCATACAACTGAAACACTCAGAAGGGAAATCACAAGAATCCACAAAAGGATAGATTCAGAGGAAGTGGAAGGGACACAGTATCTACGATAGAAAATCATTTTGCGGCATTGACTCCTTCCTGTCCAGCTGTAAAAGGGGGAGCTAGAAGTCGAAATCTATAGAGCATGTTTCAATCACGCTAAGATTTTTTAAAAAAAGAAAAAAAAAAAAGAAAGAAAAAGACAAATATTGCATTGCCGTTTCCCAATGACCACACGATCAGCCGGGGACTTTCAGATTCTTTCCTTCGTGGTCTCCCTCACTGTCATCTTGCCTCCTCGAGGATCTGCGGTGGCTGACACGTCCCCGGTGCGTCCCACAACCACTCTGGGCAGCTCGTGTCAGTGCTCAGATCGGTAGGCAGGAAAAGTCTCTGTTCGATGAAGCTTCAGAGGGCTGGCAACATCTTTTCCAAAAA